AAGACAGCGTGTTATAATTTTTGGATGATGTGCTCGCCACGGTGGCACATATACTAAAATTGGATCGATACAGAGAATATTAGCATGGCCCCTGCAAAAGGATGACACGCAAATCCGTGAAGTGCTCCATCTTTGGGGAAGTCGTGGCCTAATGGTTAGAGAGTCGGACTCGTAACCCAAAGGTTGCGGGGTTCGAGTCTCGTACCGGCAGGGATTGTAGGTGGGGGGAGTGAATGTAGGTGGGGGGAGCGCTCTCTTCCACCTTCGATACCACGACTGAGGTGCCCTTGAGCAAGGCACCGAAACCCCAACTGCTCCCTGGGCGCCGCAGCATAAATGGCTGCCCACTGCTCCAGGTGTGTGTTCACGGTGTGTGTGTGTTCACTGCTGTGTGTGTGCACTTAGGATGGGTTAAATGCAGAGCACTAATTCCTAGTATGGGTAACCATACTTGGCCACATGTCACGTCACGTCACAAAAAAGTGTATATTTCTAATAAATGCTGTTCTTTTGAACTTTCTATTTATATAAGAATCCTGACTAAATGTATCATGGCTTCTATAAAAATATTATGTAGCACTGCTTTCAACATTGATAATAATAAGAAATGTTACTTAAGCACCAAATCAGCATATTAGAATGATTTCTGAAGGATCATGTGCTTTACTGCTTTTAAATTCAGCTTTACCATTACAGGAATAAATTACATTTAAATATTTTGAATTGTTATATTACTTATTTTACTGTATTTTTGATTAAAAACAATAAATAAATACAGCCTTGGTGAGCATGAGAGACTTCTTTCAAAAACATCTTACAAAACAGTGTATAGTATGTGAAGACAAACCTTTTAATGCCGCCCCCTCAGCCTCTTTATAAAGCCCCAGGAAAAAGAGCAAACAGCCCAGATATACCCAAACTTCCACTGGACACTCCGGCCTCAAAGTGAGAGCTTTGTACTCCTGAATATATGTAACAAGTAAGAATTTTTCATGTTACATACAACAAATAACAAACAAATTTCAAATGACAATCAGCCATAATGTCCCACACCCTCGCTCTTTAAAGGTGACTTATCCCCTGACCAAGCATAAACTGACTGGATCCAACATCCTGGTGTCTGCAGAATCTAACATCTCTTTTACTAACCTCCATTGCTCTCTTGTGGTCTCCCAAATGAAAGGTGCAGAAGCCAATCCAAAGGTCTGCATGCTCCACTGACAGCCCGCCATTACGCTGAAACTGACATCACAGAGTTTGAAGTAAGTTCATGCAAATATCATAGAGATGTAATCGTAGGTCTCATGTGTTTGTTTTTGTACCTCTAATAGGGTCAGGGCTCCCAGATAGTCTCTTTGGTTTAGATAATCCTCAAGTCTTGGAATCTTTTTCCCTTTATTTTTCCTTTTCTTCTCATTAGAGCTGGTGGATGCTTCACCACCCACTGCTGGTTTCATCCGAGACAAGAGCTTCAGAACAGAAACAAGAGTTTGCTGCTATCAGTATGTACAATAGTTCAGATAACTTCTATTATTTCATTATCAAGTACATACATATTTACTCTGGTTTGTAATTATTCATGTACATATCTTTTCATCCTCTCATTTAGAACAAAACACTCTTTTTATTTGATCTTAAGCATATACAGTGGTGTGAAAAAGTGTTGGCCCCCTTCCTGATTTCTTATTTTTTTGCATGTTTGTCACACTTTAATGTTTCAGATCATCAAACAAATTTAAATATTAGTAAAAGATAACACAAGATGCAGTTTTTAAATGAAGGTTTTTATTATTAAGGGAAAACAAAATCCAAAACTACATGGCCCTGTGTGAAAAAGTGTTTGCCCCCTAAACCTAATAACTGGTTGGGCCACCCTTAGCAGCAACAACTGCAATCAAGCGTTTGCGATAACTTGCAATGAGTCTGTTACAGCACTGTGGAGGAATTTTGGTCCACTCATCTATGCAGAATTGTTGTAATTCAGCCACATTGGAGGGTTTTCGAGCATGAACCGCCTTTTTAAAGGTCATGCCACAGCATCTCAATAGGGCTCAGGGCACCGCGGGAACCTTTTCATAGTACCAAATAAAAACCTTCATTTAAAAACTGCATGTTGTGTTTACTTGTGTTATCTTTGACTAATATTTAAATTTGTTTGATGATCTGAAACATTAAAGTGTGACAAACACGCAAAAAAATAAGAAATCAGGAAGGGGGCCAACACTTTTTCACACCACTGTATATTGTGCACATGTTTTATCATTGGCTATTATATCAGCATCATTGCTCCAGTCTTCAGTGTCACATGATTCTAATATGCTGATTTGCTGCTCAAGAAACATTTATTATCAATCTTCCAAATGACTGCTACATTATCAATCAATGGAAACGTTTTGTTCAGGATTCTTTGATGAACAGAAAATGCAAAAGAACAGCATTTATTTGAAATTGAAATATAATTATTTTGTAACATTATCAACGTCTTTACTGTCACTTTTGATCAGTTCAATGCATCGTTGCTCAATGAAAGTATGAATTTATTATTCTTACTGACCCCAAACTGTTTAACAGTAGTGTATAGTATATTTTATTTTATTTGTTTACTTACTGTATTTTTGTTTTGCATTGTATTTACATTTTATTTCCCGTGACTGTGATATTTACTGCTGTAATGTCTTAATTTCTCAGGAGATTAAGTACTATCTTTTCCTCTAATGTGCAGCGTTTAGAAGAATTCAAGCTACCCAACTAGGCGAGACCATTGTTGCAGACTATTTGATGCTAAATATTTTTATAGAGAACAAATAGGGAGGTTGACTAATATTAGTAGAGTCTATTTTACATGGTTAGCTAGCATACAATAACAAAGGAGCCCTAAAATGAATTTAGTCTCATTATAATAATTAAAACTAGGTATAAATAAAGCTACAAGATATAGCTCAAAAAATAATACGCATGACACCAGCAAACGTAACAAGTAAAATTTAAAATAAGCACAATTGTGCTTGCTTGCTCAGAACATTTTATTATGAACTTAATAACTAACCAAAACCAGTAGATACCATATATTGTTGATACTCACCATGGCGACGGCGCTTTACTGTCCACGAACACACAATCCTGAAACTAGCCTAGAGTTAGCCGGCCATTTTACTAGCACTCTGACCACCATAAATCCTATGAAAGAAATCACTAGAGCTACAAACAGCATCGATTTTAGACGTCCGTTAATCCAGGAACGGTAACGTTATTTCTGTACGTTAGATGAAGTGAACTAGCCAGATAGCTTACTAGCTAGCAAACTTGCTAAGCGACCATGTTTGGGTGTGCTTACAAGATGTTAATCTAATCTACGTTTGCTTTTGAACAGAAGCAAAGGATCCTACTTCCTGAATTAAATTATATATAATAACACAGTGCATGAATAAATGTGCTCGTCATGTTGCGTGTAATGTTCTCTAGCTAATCTCGACTGCCATATTTGGCGGCGCGGCATCACGATGTTGCTAAGCAACCCACTCTTCAACCACATCAATGACAGAAGACCGCCATGTGATATGATCACTGATGTATAATAGATCAGTGGATATGATTCATGCTCAGCGCTTTGCCTTGTGTTTTTAATCAAAATATGGTTAAAATATAACAGAAATATCAAAGGAAATATCTAAGTTTGTCCACCGGAAATACATATACAAACATAGTTAAGCTGTTGGAGCCCCAGTGGCCTAATGGATAAGGCACTGGCTTACTGTCCACGAACACACAATCCTGAAACTAGCCTAGAGTTAGCCGGCCATTTTACTAGCACTCTGACCACCATAAATCCTATGAAAGAAATCACTAGAGCTACAAACAGCATCGATTTTAGACGTCCGTTAATCCAGGAACGGTAACGTTATTTCTGTACGTTAGATGAAGTGAACTAGCCAGATAGCTTACTAGCTAGCAAACTTGCTAAGCGACCATGTTTGGGTGTGCTTACAAGATGTTAATCTAATCTACGTTTGCTTTTGAACAGAAGCAAAGGATCCTACTTCCTGAATTAAATTATATATAATAACACAGTGCATGAATAAATGTGCTCGTCATGTTGCGTGTAATGTTCTCTAGCTAATCTCGACTGCCATATTTGGCGGCGCGGCATCACGATGTTGCTAAGCAACCCACTCTTCAACCACATCAATGACAGAAGACCGCCATGTGATATGATCACTGATGTATAATAGATCAGTGGATATGATTCATGCTCAGCGCTTTGCCTTGTGTTTTTAATCAAAATATGGTTAAAATATAACAGAAATATCAAAGGAAATATCTAAGTTTGTCCACCGGAAATACATATACAAACATAGTTAAGCTGTTGGAGCCCCAGTGGCCTAATGGATAAGGCACTGGCCTCCTAAGCCAGGGATTGTGGGTTCGAGTCCCATCTGGGGTGGAACGTTTTCGTTATACCTTAAAAACCAATAATCCGACCATTATTTGATCGAGAAATATATCAGTAATAATGTCCATGCACAAGGCACAACTGGTCATCAACTAATGCTAAAAGCAGCAAATCTGAATCAGGCAGACATTTCAGATTCTAAAACCAGGTTTGATAAAGATAAAACTTTTGCATTTAAAAAAATGCAAACATCATTGATAGATGTTTGTTGATTTAAACAAACTCATTCAATTTTGTTCCAATTTACATTTGCAGTAAAAAAGCATTGATTTAATGCTCAGAAATTTGAATTGGAAAACAGAAATACTGAGATTTTCGCTTTTTGATATGCATGCAACATTTGCCATGTCATGACTATGAATTTAACTTTTTAAGGCCTTAATTTGCAGAAGGATGAATTAAGACCTGCAGAAACACTGAAAACCATTTTGATTTCAATAAGGCGGCTCTCTAATCATGCTGAAAACTGTCTAACTAAACATTGTAAATTCAGTTTCATTGGTCAAACACTAAATGGCTGCTACACAACACTATGAGTCTACAAACAAGCTTCAAAATATAATACCCAGTTAGGGTTTATTATGGAACACTGCTCAGCTGACTGTACATTATCCCTTCATTAAGGCATTGCATATTTCACATAAGACTCACCATTCTGCATTATTTGGTGTCAAACGTATAAATTTTTTAAAAATAAAATTTTTATAATTACAGATGCTGAGGTGGACTTAATCATCTATTCTAGACACTACATTGTTAGACAACATAGCCCTAATTGCTTATTCAAAAATCAGCTCAAAAAGAACATCGGAAACAAGATTTTAAACAATCAAGTTTATCGATTTCACAAGCATGGTTAACATTTCTCTTAAGACCAGTCTGCAGTGGTGCCGCCCCACTCTCCGGCCTGAGCAGTGGGAGCAGCAGACCAATCCTCAGTAGCAGGCTGAGCACTCCAGTCCTCTGTTGAAGAGAGAGAAATTCAAAATTACACCAAATGTTACTCTTCATTATTTTGCATTATACATTCCATGCTACCAAGCAGGAAAACCTTACCTGCAAACACCTCAGCTGGTGCAGCTTTGGCAGGAGCTAAAGTTCAGAGGAGTTGATTAGTTCATACCAATTTCACACGTTCAGTTGAAAATTATCTAAATTGAATTTCCAAAACTGTACTGTGTATAACGTGGGTAAATAAGTCAACTAGAAGCAGCTTACCCTCAGCGCCAGCTGGGAACTGCTGGATGGGCACAGAAGGAACCTGAACACCTTCAGACCAGTCAGCAACCTCAGGCTGGTTGAAGTCGGGCACAGGAGCGGTCCATTCACCCTGGAACTCCTCCTTACCAACAGCCTTCTCAGCTGCAGCCTGCTCTTCCTTCTCAATCTAGAGGTGGAAAGACAATCAGTGGCATAATTAGCACATCTGAACAATTAAAAGAAGTGATGGCATAAAGTCATATGGAACAGATTTTGAATATTGGTTGGTTGTATTTAAATTAGCCATATCAGCTTCAAAGGCTATTACATGGCAGACACAGATTCATAATTTAAACAATACAAACATTTTATATATTTCAACTTAGAAAAAAAAAAAAAAGAATTGTATATTTACAACGCTATACATTCTTTAAATGTACAAATGACAAAGTCAATCTAGTATGGCATATACGACGCCTTTCTCATGTCTGGATTTAAAAGGGTAGATGCCTATTTTTCCCCCACAGGATTCACAAATGACATTTTCAGACTGATTCTGAATAGGTGGACGACGAGAAAAGTGATCAATACAAGAATATTCCGCATCGTACCTCCTCAGGATCTCTGTAGAAGTACAGATCAGGCATGACCTCCCATGGGTGCTCCCTGGAGATGGTGCCCCTCATCCTCAGCACCTCTCTAGCCAACATCCACCACATCAAACCCACAGAGTGGGGACCCTAAAACACGACATTAAAACCTTAAAACCACATAGAAAAGACCCCACTTGCATGAAGAGTTTAGTTTCTCATTCATACCTTGTTGTTGCATGGGATGGCAATGTCGACGTATCTCAGAGGGGAGTCTGTGTTGCAGAGGGCAATGGTTGGGATGTTGACGTAAGAGGCTTCGGTCAGCGGCTGGTGGTCAGCGCGAGGATCTGTCACGATCAGGAGGCGAGGCTCCCTGAAAGCAGCCTGAATCTGATTGGTGAAGGTTCCAGGAGTGAAACGACCAGCGAAGGTGGTGGCGCCAGTGGCAGAGGCGAACTTGAGCACCGCTCTCTGACAGGAAAGAATAGTGACTGTTAACATCACTAAGATCACCAACAGTCATGTTAACAAAGAACACATCCTGTGCGAGTGAAGGAGTAAAATATTGTGGCTCAGGTTACTATCAAACCCCAGTCATGGGGCAAAACCCTCATGGTGTTAGCGAAATCCTGGCCAAGTCACTCTTGCACACTTCCGACACCCAAACACCGACAGCAGTGCCAGGTTTTAATGATGTGCCTGGTAAAAAGCTCTTTAGATTTTTTTAATTTGCTGCTGTCATTAACTAGTCATGGAGTGTGTCAATCACCTGGCCAGTGTTTCTGGAGGAGATAACGCAAACATCAGCTGGATTCTCAATGGCAACAATGGCACGAGCAGCCAACAGCAGTTTCTCCCAGGTCTTCTTAAGGTTGATGATGTACACGCCTGCAGAAATGCAAACGTCAGATCAGTTATAGTGGTTCCTAAACGGTCACACACAAAAAAAAAAACCCTGATAAAACATTTTCTTGATTTTGATTAAATATTTCCATAAATTAACATTTACGTGAGCATTAACTGATATCAGAGAACCATGAACATGACATGCAGGTAAACAATTTATCTTTTGACTGGGTTTCATTTTTATATTTACAACATAAGGTGGCACAATTGTAAAAATTGATTGTCAAACCATGATGAGAAACATTTCATCTCATACCAACTACATTTAACTATTGTGTAACAAATTAATATTGTGATTCATTTGTAGTTTTTATATACAAGTAGCAAAACTTGTGTTTCAAACATTAAACCCTCAAGTTTTTTTGGTCAAATTCTTTTGTTGACCATGGGTTTATAAATGTTTCTCATTACATACGTTTTTCTTCAAAAATGGTGAAAATTGTGGATAAAGTGGTCCAGGTTCACGTGTTCCAAAATAATTAATTTTAATGACTGGCTAATAACTCGTTTCACACTAACACAAACTGAATGCTGTCAATTCGACTTTTCTTTGCTATTTTTTTTAACAATGAGAGGGGTTCTAATATCATTTTCCATCACACCACAAAAGAAAACTGGCCAACCAATAAGATGCATGCTTTGCCATATGCCATTTTCTACTCATTGGTCTGAACAAACAAAGTACATACACAAAAATCTGGCCAATGCTGGTGTGAACAGGTATTAAATCACAGCTTTTTATATTTTATGATTTAATTCAGCTTTTAATGAACTTTCAAACCACCTGCAGTTCCCTCACAAACCCCTGTAAATTACAGTAACCTACAAAGATTGATAAACGCACCAGAAAGGCATATCGCAGCCAAATCACCCATGTCTTGTTGCACTTCTTACCGTCACTCTTTCTCTTGTAGACGTACTGCTCCATCTGGAAGTCCAGGTTGGTTCCTCCCAGATGGGTTCCTGCTGCCAGGAACTTCAGCACATCCTCCTCCTTCATCTGAAGGACGTCCAGACCTCCGGACATCGTGACCACTTTCCTTGCGTAACGAGTTTAGTGGGAGAGCTGGAAGGAAACACAGGAGCGTACAGGAGGCTCAGTGGAGAAGAAATCATTCAAGGGAAGTATTTTTGGATTGAAGGACGAATGTAGCTCAGGTTGCTATCAAACCCCAGTCATAGGACGCATCAGCCCTGCTGGTGTTAGCGAAAACCCGGCTGAATCACTTTAGCACACTTCCGACACCTCCACACCGACATCAGTGCGAGGCTTTAACGGTGTGCGGCTCTTCACCGATTTCGCATCATCATTAGCATCTACTCTACCGCTAACTCACTGAGGAAATGTGTAACTTGTTTCAACAATTAACTAAAAGAGATATTAAAGGTATGTAGACATTTGATGTCAATCATAATACTCCCATGTTAAATATTCTTGAGTGACCACTGCGCGCGCTACACTTGACTGTAGCAGTACACGCGCTTCCTTGCGCGAGATTACACGTTGCGACTCGGGCCTGCATATTTTAAGACAACTGGCGCAAACTTCAAAGATGAACGTATTTCATGAATATTGGCAATTATGGCCTTTATTCAAAATAGTGCGACTCAAATAGACGATTAAAAGTCGTCAAAAGTATAAAATTTCTGCTCACCACGAGACAACGCCGTATGGAGTTCTGCACCTCACAGCGAAAAGAGGGCGGGATGAGGAAATGACGTCCGTTATATACCCGGGTGTCCACCAATCACACTAAGAGATTTCTTGCTCTTTGCTTTCCTTCTGTCTAATAAAAATAACATACTACCCCTACTGGTGGAGGATTGCACACGCGAGCGGTCTATACTCGCACATTAGTCGTCAGTTGTTGATATTTTTCTTGATTAGGTGAAATAAGGACGGTTCTCAAAAGCTTTAGATTTAGGTTAAAAAGGCTTAAAAGGTTAAAGGTTTAGTGTGCGTGTGTGTTTTCAAGGTAAGAATTAAAATGATTTGCTAATGCATGGACTGTTTTACACATACACTCCATCAACAATATAGTGAGTACAAATCAGGGTCATTATAGTTAAAGGGGTCATATGATGCGATTTAAATTTTTCCTTTCTGTTTGGAGTGTTACAAGCTCTTGGTGCATAAAGAAGATCTGTAACGTTGCAAAGACTAAAGTCTCAAATCCAAAGAGATATTCTTTATAAAAGTCAAGAGTCAACCACGCCTACCTAAAACGGCTCGTTCTGACACGCCCCCACATGTCTACGTCATGTCTAGTATTGTTGTTGTTGCCGCCGCCATGTCGTAAAGACGCTGTGTGCTTCGTTGTGAAAGCAAAACTACTTTGTTTGG